CTAGTGAATTGAACCTTCTGTGGGTTTGTGACATTTTGGAAGGTACTTTTTTCCCTTGTCACTGATTTAGGGGAAAGATTGTACGGAAGCTCCACGGAAGCCGGGATGTTGGGAAGCAGTCTTGTTTCCAGCATTCCGGGCAATGGCAACACCACTATCCAAGAACACATCACCCCTGGGATTCAGACATGCGGGAGGTGAATTCAGAGCAGAGTAGAGCAGAAGCTTGCACCCTGCAAAAGGTGACTAAAAACTTAAACCAACTCAAGAAGAGTTTTGATTAATTGGTAGATAGACGAGTAGCAGATTATTAAGGGAAAGCAGGGAAGTTCCAAGTACATCTCTGGCCTTTCAGGGTGGTGTGGTAGAATGCAAACGCTGGACTCTCCCTTGCACGTTCCCTCAGGGCTGTGGTCAGAATTCTGGGCTGGTGGCGTTTTTGGTCTGCAATGACATTTCAGATCTTCTTCACAATGTCTTACCAGAAAAGGTCATGCTAGAACACCCAAAAGAGCAGGTGAGCTGTCTCAAGGGGCAGAGCCCGTCCTAAACACAGCGTGCAAGCCCTTCAAGCATGCCATGCCAAGGGCACCGCCTCCTGTTAAACCTTTGAGTGTATGTGCTATCGACGCGAATGGTGACGGTGTCCATGGTGACTGGTCTCCTTTGTCCCAAACAGATAAAGCCAGTTGCCATGGAGTCGATCCTGACTCACGGCGACCCCACGTGTGTCAGAGTACAGCTGCACTCCGTAGGGTTTTCAGTGGCTGATTTTTCAGAAGGAGATTGTCAGGTCTTTCTTCCAAGGTGCCTCTGGGTGGACTTGAACCTCCAACCTTTCAGTTAGCAGGCAAGCACGTTAACTGTTTGCAAGTAGGAAAATTTCTTCAAGGTGGTCCATTTCCAAACGGGCAGTCCAGGAAAGTTCCCTTGAGGGCAGTCCAGGAAATTTCCCTTGACTCCACCGTAAGGCAGTTTGCAGAGACTAGCCTCGGCTAGCCCACCCTCACCCCTCACGTGAAGGGGCTTTATCAGCTGGCTTTCCAACAGTGTCTGTCCTGGGGAGTCAGCATAACCTCCTCAGCAGCAGGGATGGTTCAGGTGAGAGCCCAGGGACTCCCATAGCTCTCTCCCCTTCTTTCTGCCCCTTCTCTCCCCCCCTCCTTCCCCCTTTTCTTCCTTCTCTCCTGCTGATGCCATCCATCCTCCAGCTGTGGCAGGGATGACCCTGTCAGCACCTCTGGTACCACCGGAGGGAAGCTGGTCAGCGAGAGCTGGGGCCACCCTTTCCTCCTAGCTCTCACTGGGGTGGAGCCACAGCGTCTGCCAGTAAGTGCGTCCTGGCTGCGGAGACCCCAGCACTGATGGGAAAGAAGAGAGGGTTTTCGGGTCTCTGGCTTTCCTGTCCGTTAGAGTCATCATTCTTACCCAGTTTGGGGGCTGAAATGGAGGCCTGATTCAGTGATGGAAACCCCAAGCTTCAAGGCTGAGCTGCTGCAATAGCAGTGTGATTGTGGACAGGAAGTGGGATGGCTGCGTGGGTGTAAAGGAAAGGCTCCCTCCCTCTCAGACACTTTCTATGCCCAAGGGTTGCTGGGAGGTTCTGTGTGGGTGCGGGGGTGCTTACTCAGCCTGCCTCCCTCCTCCCAGCCCAGCAGCAGCTGGGAGACTTTTCATCCCAAGACCTGCCACCCAGCAGCAGGGTGATGCGACCTAACCAACCCACCCTCAGCAACCTTTCTACTTTCCGCCTAGAAACAACAGTTTCTCGGGTTTATAGAGAATCTTTCTTTTTTCCCAGGAAGAGTTGGGAGCTGGGCTGAGACAGGCCCTAAAGGTGCTGAGACCGTGACGAGGAACTCCTCAGGGGCCGAGCTCGGCTTTCCCACCGCCAGCTGCGGTCCGGTGATTTGTTTCAGCGTAGGACTCTGCTCCACAAGGTTTTCGTGGCTGTGACCTTTCAGAAGCAGATCACCAGGCCTTTCTTCTGAGGCGTCTGTAGGTGGTTTGAACTACCTTCTGGTTAGTAAGTGAGCACTTAAGCATTTGCTCCACCCAGGACTCGGCACTCTGGAAAACCATATCTCCAGCCATCTGGGAGGGGAATCGGCCCCCAGCACCATGACCTTCTACCCTGGGCAACCCTGTTTTCGGTTGCTGCCTCTAAATTGTCTACTTTGATATCAAAACGTGAGTTTAAACTAACAAATACACAGCTTCAGAAGGAGGGCAAATCTTCAGCCCCCTGCAGATAGCAGTTAATTTAAATAAAGTTCTTGGTGGCAAAGAAAGGAATTAGCATCTCGCAGCAAAGCTGGATCCAGGGGAGGCGTGGAAGAGAGAACTCACAAGACTTGGTGGGTTACCCTGGACGCAGAGGAATCAGACACGATGCTTAGATGTTTGGCTCAGCAGATGGTGGAGGCCATTATTAAGGGCGTGAAGACAGAGAGAAATAACGGTACAGCTTCGAACCTGTGGAGTGGAATACACTTGTGAGTTGCCCTCTCAGACCTGAGGGACCATTGGAAGGACAGGTCCGCCTCAGGAAAGACTTGGGTTCTGGATACAGATGTGGGGGCTCTTGGCATAGGGAAGGATGTGGCTGAGTTTCAAAGAAGACAAGCTGCTTTATGCCAAGAAGCAGAGGGTAGAGAAGAGGAAACGCAGAAGCCAGGGTCAACCTGTTAGGAGGTGAAGGGAGAAAAAGCCCGAGATGGGCCCGTTAGATTTAGCAGTCAGAGCTCACTGGTGACCTCCGGAAGACTCGGTGATGTGGTGGGAGCACAAGCTCCGTCTCCTTGCAGTGGAGACTAGCAGATACTCACCAAGCCCAGCTCCCCTCCCTTGGGGCGTGTGGCTAGACTTCATTTCTCCACCTCCCTTGAACTGATGGTGGCCATCTGAGTTCTGGCCAATGAAATGCAGGCGGAAAATGAGGAAATGTCACCTCCTTGGAGAGTCCCTGGGTGGTGCAAAATCTGAATGTACTCTCATGCCAAGCGAAGCACCTTGGAAGAAAGGCCTGGCAATCTACTTGTGAAAAATCAGCCATTGGAAACCCTATGGAACACAGGTCTCTCTGACACACGTGGGGTCACCCTGAGTCGGCGTCGACTTGACAGTAGCTGGTGCTGGTACTGGTGCTGGTCCCTTCCAGGTCTGGCTCTCTCCCGGTCCTCTGTGGATTCTTCCCTCCCTGGTTTCCCAGTCAGAGCAGAGGATCCAGTGGGGGTGGGGGTGGGGGGGCTCCAAGGCTTTGGGGGCACAGAGCCAGGAAATGAAAGGAGCTTGGTCTCTCAATGCTCTGTGGAGCCGGGAGAGTGTATGAGGTCAGGCTGGACAGGACTGTGGGAGAATCAGGCCCATGCGGCCAGCAGGCACGGCCATGCAGGTCAGCAGTGGAGTGTGGGAGTGGCTGGCAGAACCAGCAGAGACTGTAGGGGCCAGGGCAGCAGACAGATTTCAGAGGCAGGTCAGCTAGAGGGGTCAGCCAGCCAGGAGAACGTGGAAGCACTGCAGGATCAGGGGGCAACCTGGCAGAGGGTAAAGTGCCCCTACAGGGCCAAGAAAGGTGCTGGTTGAAAGACAGCGGAAGCCAAGTGCCTGCATGTGCAAGGCACACACGTCCACGCGTTCACACTCAGCCACAGCGTCCCCTGGACCTGGCTCTGAGGTCACTCTTCACAGGCCGGCTGCTGTCCTTCACTGGGCAGTCCTGGCTGGCCTCATGACGGGCTGGCAGGACTTGCCACTGCTAGACATCAGCTGAGCAGGTCGCGCCCCAACTCACCTCCTTGTTGCCCAGCTTCAGCCTGACCCTATTAACAGTGGAGCATGGGGTCTCGTCTGGTTCCGCTCCTTATGCTGAGCAAGTCCCTTCCTCTCTGTACTTCTGCTGCCTCATCTGCGAAGTGAAGGGGTCGGACTGCATGATTTGAAGGTCTCTTGCAGTAAAAGATCCGTCATTCCCTTGAACGGCTGTATTTGGGAAGCTCTGGCCTAGTATTCCCAGCAGGCATCAGCCTCCCAGTGCCTCTGACGAGGCGGATGCTGCAGCCTTCAACCTGAACAAGTTAGGGGAGACCAGGCGGTCTCCATAGGAGGGGGCCTCCCCACGGAAGGGGCTCGTGGGGCACAGTGGGATTAGTCACCCTATGAAGTCAGTGAGGTCACCACTCCTGGGCAGAGCCGCCTTCCATTTCCGTCCTTTTCTTTCTTTCTTTCTTTTTTCCTCTTTTAAAATCATCTACATTTGCAACAAAGAACTTTCCTTTCTGTTCTCATTTCTTGTTCCCTTTATGATAGGATGGCTCCACCCTCCACAACCCCCATCCTGTTCCAGGGAAGACAAGAATTAGAGGGGCATAGGGAGCACTTTCCCAATTTGCTTTCCTCCCTGGGGTCAACTGTTCTTGGCATGGTTCTGCTTTTCCTCAAAGAATGGAGCTGGGAGGGGCTTCTGGAAGGATATCGCTCCTCTCCTCATCTGCCCAAATATTTATTTGTTTTAAATAAGGGTATATGTTTCCCCCTAGTCAATTGTGACTCAAGCTAAGACAGAGATAAATCTGTTGTCTGCTCCTGTACCTACTGATGGAATGGGGAGGTGGCCTGGGAGTGTACAGAGTGGAGAACCAGTCTAGGGTAGAAAACTTTCCCAGACAACCCAGCATGGGTGCGAGAACTGGCAGGGACACAGGGCTGGGCAAAGCACAAGACAAGCGCCTCCACGACCCAGCTACGTCTAACTTCTGCAAGCATAGGGGTGGCAGGGAAGTCCCATTGTCCTTTGCTCGCTGTCCCCAAGAAGGCCTCCCCAGTCCACCACGGACGCCCACCATGGATGTGGCTGTCAGGGAGACGGACAGGAGAGGGAAGCAAGATCCAAGAGCCACAAAAAAACCTGGAGACTGAAAAAGGCCTCTTCAGGAAGAGAAAGTGTGTTATGTCTCTAAATTCCAAGAACTTGGAGAAAGGAAAAGCCATGAGAACCATCTTTATTACCCAAATTCTGGAGGAAATGATTCTGCGTTAACAGCGGAACCTCCTAGCTGCCAAAGTGGATGAGAAGTGACAGAAGCTGAGGCTGGCATCCTGGCCTGCATCCGCTCAAGGGCCCCGGGAGCCAGGCGCCTGCGCGGCTTCCTGCGGGGCCCGGTGGGCGGAGGACAGGGCCCCTGAGCCCCGCGGAGGAGGAGGGGTGACAGGTCCTCCGATGCGCAGAGGCGGAGGGAGGCCTCTCATTCCTGGGGAGAAAGCCAGGTTCCTCACTGCACAGAGGGGGCGTCCTTGGCTTCACCGGGGCAGGCAGCCGGGTACAGGGTCCGGCCGAGGCACAGACACAAAGTTCATGGGGCAGAGCAGCAGCGGGCACATCTTCTCGTGCTCCTTCAGCGTCTCGCTCAGGTGCTTCAGCTCCTCGGTCAGCTTCCCGATCTCCCTCCGCAGCACTGCATTCTCTTGCTCCAGGCACTCATACTCCTGGGGAAGACAAGAGTCAGCAAAACCATTTCCGAAACCAGACTCCCTTCCTCTGTTCTCCCAGCATCTCTGACCCCCGCCTTCTTCCCCCCACACGTCACTATTGTCAGCCCCCCTTCTAGCCCTCATATTCATCTGTTTGCTCAACAGCTCTCTCTTCTCACTAGAAACGTTCATGGGGCAGGGCCTTTGTTTTTTATATCTGCCCCATTGGGTTTCCAAGGAGCGGCTGGTGAATTCCAACTGGCGACCTTTGGGTTAGGAGCCAGGATCTTAACCACTGCACCACCGGGGCTCGGTATCGACTTTACTGAGGTATAAACCAAAAATACAAAGCAAAACCGGTTGTCATCAATTGATTCTGACTCGTGGGGACCCCACGTGCGTCTGAGTAAAACTGCATTCCATAGGGTTTTCTTGACTGTGACCTTCCAGAAGCAGATCACCAGGCCTTTCTTCCACAGCACCTCTGGGTTGGTTTGAACCACCAATCTTTTGGTAGGTAGCAAGGGCTTAACAATTGGAACTACCCGTGGACTCCTTATAATTTACGTAAAATAAAATGCACTCATTTTAAGTGTATAATTCAATGAGTTCTGTCGAATGTATACACCCATGTTGATGAAGATATAGAACATTTCCTTCACCCCAAAAAGTTTCTTTATGCCCCTTTCTCCCCACCCCCCCCAAATGCTGCTCTGCTTCCATAAGGTCTTTGTTGGGTTCACTGCTATATCCTCAGCACCCAGCCCAGTGCCTGGAACAGTGTTTGTTGATTGCAGGAGTAAATGAAAAACAAATAAAACACCTTTTGCCTTGGCTTTGCTTGAGCACTTACTGGTTACCTTTCCGTTGCATCAGACATTACAGAGGCTCAGAACCGGAGGGGATCATGGAGACCCTTTAGCCCAGCCCACTCAGTGTAGAGACCTTCCGTCTGTTAACTCTTAGTCCTTGCCTCTTCTGGGCTGCTCTACTAAAAAGCTCCTCCTTATTGTCGTTGGGTGCCCTCAAGTCGACTCCGACTCACAGCAACCCCATGTATAACAGAACAAGATGTTGCCTGGTGCTGGGCCCTCCTCACAATTGTTGTTATGTCTGAGTCCATTGTTGCAGCCACTGTGTCAGTCCACCTTGTTGATGCTCTTCCTCTTTTTCGATGACCCTCTTTATACTGACCCATAATCCCCCTCTCCTTCAAACACACGCATTGGGCTTAGTTCCACTTTATGGAACTACACAGAGGAAATCCGCTACTTTTTCAATATCACGGTTCTTAAAATGTTAGAAGACAGCCCCTTCCCTTTAGCTACTCTCCTTCCTGAGTTCAGTTGTCTTAGGTCTGCCAAGCACCTTGGGTGACAGGACTCCCAGCCCCGCTGCCCTCCTGGAGACCACCCCTGAGACACACTCCAATTTGACAGACTCTCTGAGACACTGCTGCTCCCCAAATGCACTGCATAATTCTGGGGTGGCTGGCCAGGGGAGGACAAAGCATGGTGCCCCCACACGCTGACCCAAGCCCTCAGCGGCCCCTCGCTGGTGATGCTTCCTGAGCTTGCAGGGAAGTGTAAACTTCAACTACATCTGCTTTGGAGTCTGTGCTTGGATGGCTGATGTTTTGGAGCTTCCGAGTGGGACTTCACACCAACTCCACAGAATTCCACTTTGTTAGTGGGACGTATTCCAGTCTAGCAAACCTTTTTGAATCTTGACTGTATCGTCTCATGGATTAGTGATACCACACAGCTTTCCACTGTCCATTAAATTGATAAGCAAGTCTTCCTTTTCTTCACCCAAATCGTTGAGGTCTACAACACAGAGCCAATTGTAGAGCCCTACAGCACGCCAATAGAGACCTTCTCCAGGCTGACAATCTTAGTTAAATCATGCAGAAATGCTGTTTCCATTCATTTCTGGGTTGACTCATATCATTATGCTTTGCTGCCCCATGAATGCCATGCTTTTCCTGGGCTGGGGACTCTAACCTACTATGCATCACACCTTCTCTCTTATTAGAGAAACAGCACTAAATATCACTAAACAAAATCATTTTAAAAGTCTTTCTTACAGCCCCCGAAGATACATGCAAATTGTCAGCTCTGCCCTTTTGCTGATGCAGTTTACCTCAACTGGCTTGTCTTCCTTCTTTTCTGTGTAGGCAAAGACCAGGCCCACCACCTCCAGGAAGGCTTCCCTGATCACAGGACCTATCTGAGCCACATCTTCTATTATGTGTTCTATTCAGTCTTGTAGTCAATCTCACTTATGTTAAATAATGTCTCTCCCCAAATATCACAGCCTCTGCTACCCTCCCCTGTACCCCTGCCTGAGGGGCACAGTGCCAGCACCCACATGCTCAGTGACTCTCCCCTTCACCTTCTGTCTCCTTCTCTTACCCTCTTTCTTCTCTCCCACCTTCCTGAGGCACCTTCCTCCCTTTCAGAACCCAGGGTCCAAAGGGGCTGCAGGCAGAAGCTATCTGAGCCTTTCCTCTGTCTCCTGCCCATCCCAGGCAGCCTCCCAGTGTGAGCTGGAACCCTCTCCAAGGCAGCAGGCCTCACACCTCTCCCCAAGGCTGTCCTGGGTCAGACTGTGGCCATCCTCACTCATGCACTGGCCCCGTCTGCCTTCAGTCCTCCTCCATGCCTCCCATGCCCCTCATGCTCTTCTCTGGCCTCTAACAAGCTCTGGTCCTGGAGTCAGAATCCAGCCTATAAACCCAGCAACAAAGCCCTCCATAGGCAAGGGGAGGGATGGTGGCCGGATGGGGCATCCTGGGAAGTCTGAGTACAAGAAAGGGTGAGACAGACTGCAGCTCTGCACATACACAGGCACACATGCACAGACACGTGCAGAGACACACACATACATGCACACACACACACATGCACATACACACAGACATGTGCATACACACACACGCATGCACACACGCACAGACACGTGCAGAGACACACACATACACACACACGCATGCACATACACACAGACATGTGCAGACACACACATACATGCACACACACATGCACACACGCACAGACACGTGCAGAGACACACACATACATGCACACACACTCATGCACACACGCACAGACATGTGCAGAGACACACACGCATGCACACACACACGCATGCACATACAGACACGTGCAGAGACACACACATACATGCACACACACTCATGCACACACGCACAGACATGTGCAGAGACACACACGCATGCACACACACACGCATGCACATACAGACACGTGCAGAGACACACACATACATGCACACACACAGGCACACACGCACAGACATGTGCAGAGACACACATACACGCACAAACACACATGCACAGGCACACATATGCACACACACCAATGCACATACGGACATGTGCACAGACACACACGCATGCACATACACATATGCACACATACATGCATGCATGCAGACACGTGCACAGACACACATACATGCACACACACGCATGCACAGACACACAACGCACACACGCTCACCAATGCACACATGGACATGTGCACACATGCCCGCACACACACATGCACATACACATATGCACACATGCATGCATGCAGACACATGCACAGACACACGCATGCACACACGCATGCACACACGTGCAGAGACACACATACGCGCACGTACACACACAGACACACATATGCACACACACTCACCAATGCACACAGGGACACATGCACAGACACATATACACACATGTACACACACGCATGAACAGACATACACATATGCACACATACAGGCATGCGCACAGACACATGCCCTCACGCATGCGCTCATGCAGACACATGCACACACACGTATACATGCACGCACACGCAGACACAATGTGCACACATACACACATGCATGTACACACACACACATGCCCCGCCCTGCAACTAGAAAATACTCTTCACCTTGAAGTGCAATGACAGTAAACGGGAACAGTTCCAAGGAGCTAACATTTTAACTCGATTCCAAGGAACAGGAAGCAAGGTGCCCTGGGGGGGCACAAATGACTACACGGTCAACCACTAGCTGACAGGCTGGTGGATCGAACCCACCCAGAAACGGCTCGGAAGTAAGGCCTGGTGATCTGTGCCCACAGGTCACAGCCTTGAAAACCCTACGGAGCACAGCTCTACTCTGCACACATGGGTCCCCACGAGTCGGAATCAACTCGGTACCAACTAACAACAAGCAAGGGTGCCTCTCAGAATCTGTTCCCAAAAGGTCACAGCCTTGAAAACCCTGTGGAGCACAGCTCTACTCTGCACACATGGGTCCCCACGAGTCGGAATCAACTCGACGCCAACTAACTACAAGCAAGGGTACCTCTCAGAGAAACAGGCATAAACCTGTAAAGCCTCTGAGTTTCCAAGAGTAAATTTCTACAAGATCATGAGACCCACAGAACAGGAAGCTCTCTTCCTTTGGCAGAGTATTCCAAGCAGCCTTTCCAGGATTACAGAACTCTGTGGGGAGACAATCTGCGTTTCTGAGCTTCATCTCCGGAGGCTATCAGGAGTCCTGCCAGGCGCCTTTCTGGGGTGCCTTTGTCTTCCCCAAACCCCAGCTCAAAAGGCGTCAGAGCGGCCTGTCCCCGGGCCATGGGCCAGGCCCACGTTTGCCATCCCCTCAGTGACTTTCTCTTCCGGGACTTATTTTTACTCATAAATCTGTTGGTGGATGTTTATCGAGCTGAGGAATAAGAAAGAGAGAAGGAGTCGAAATCGTCTTTCTATAAAGCAACAAGATAATCTGGGAGGGGCGGAAGAGCAGGCCAGAGAACAGCAAGTGGAACAACTAGGAAAGAATAAAAACCACTTTCACACTAAAAAGAAATTACTCGGACTTAACACAAATGGAAAAGAAGTAAAGAACATTAGCCCCTTTGTTAAGTCCAAAGAGATGATCAGTTCAGCTCAAATCCTGCTGAGTTTCGTCTCATTCGCTGCAGGGGCTGTGGTTGCTTCGCTGCCAGG